TGTTTTTTTTTTTTTTTTTTTTTTTTCCTATTTGGTTCTTGAATAGCTTAGTTTCTTTAGTAATAAGTCAGACTTTATTACAACAACTTAAGTTATTCTTTTAGGTTCTCGTGAAATTCTCACCTAAGACCACATCCTTAGCCTAAGGCACTTCATCTTTTATGATATAAAATGATGGCTCTCAAATGATTTTCCATACATTGTACTGATCAAGTTATACACCCAGGGGTATATACGCTTTCTTCATGTTTCTTCTTTGTATATTTGGTGACTGTATCGTCATAGATGTACATATTGTGTCGGTAGGGCTATGAGGCATGTTACAGGAATGTACTTTTCTCAGACTTTACACTCACTTGCAGTCATTTATTTAAAACGATAAAACAAGATAATGGGTTCTTTGTATTGGCACTTTGCACCAGAAACATATCATTATTTATTGATGTGATTACTTATTTGTTATCCACCTTGTACTAGTAAGTTTTAGCACTGAATTCCTTCCTCATTGTTGTTTGTATTTATGAAATTCTGAAATTATGGGAATCAGCATAATGATTAAGTTATTCATCACCAGGCTGTAAGCAATATCTTGAGTTCGTAGCTTAGAACTGGGAGGATACTGAACATCTGGAAGACAAGTTCATTTCATCTTGAGATCATGGTGAAATATTTTGGATATATAAATTCCTTAAGCTATTGTAACCATGTTTTATTGCAAAGATGTAAAATATGCCAGATGTGTGTGAGTTGGAAATCAAAAAAAGAAAAATAAAATATGCAAAGAATTCACGGATTGTTTCACATTTCATTGGACAGTTCACAAACATGCATTCATTATGTTGTCATACAAGTTTAAGAAATCAACATCACCTCATATAAAGATCTACAGCATATAAAAACATGAAATAGGGTACTAATGAGATTCTGTAATTTGCTGAAATGCGAGCTGCTCTGCTTGGCCATCTGGCAGGGATTTGGGGCAACAGTGACCAGAGGGGAGTGGCCTTCCTTATTTATTCTGTATAATCCACTTTGGGGACTATTTTACTTAAAAGAAACTAAATGCTGAAGGGTATAATAGCCCCTTATATGAGTGTTATCAAGCAATGCTAGTTTCACTTGAAACCACACTTTCTAGAATGCATCATTGACCAGGCGTGACAGTGGCAGGGACCGCGCAACCTAGGGGAGCTGAATGACTGCTGGCCACAGCAAGGCAGGTGGCAGGAGCAGCACTGAGGGGCTCTGGTCACACAGATTGGCATGGGTGGTGGGGGCAATAGCCCAGACGGGCCTGGGGAGTGACAGAACTGCAAGGACTACTTCCATCTGCATTCCTAGGATGAAAAGGGCAGACCAAACAGTGGCATGAGAAAGGCTGGCTGCTGTCACTCCCCACCCTGTGCTCACACCAGGAACATGTTGGGCATTATCAGGCCTGCTGGCTCCCTCAGCCTCACCCTTCTTGCAGCCCATAGGCAGGCCGATCACTGGCCAGCATCTCTTGAAACTGCCTCCTCCTTTCCAGCACCAGCAACTGGACTACCTGAAACCTCCTGGCCAGTGGCTGGGCCTCTAGCTGACCCCTCCCCGTTCCTACTCTGCCCTGCTGCTAGGGGTCTGGCTACACCACCAATCCAGCTCAGCACCTTGCAAAGCCAATACCAATGGCTTAACAATGGTGTTCCTAAACTATAGTAGACAAAAAAAAAAAAAAAAATCACCTGGTGAGCTTATTTTTAAAAGCAGAAGCTTAGAGCACGGGCCCATACCTGCCAGCTGCCAAAAATAATAAATATTAAAAGTGGAATCTAGGGTCCCATCACCACAGGTGATCTGATGCAGGTGATCCTCAGGCACGTTTTCAGCAGCACTGCTGTAGGGGATAAAGTCCAAACTCAGAAGAACACAGAAGTCCTTCAGGAGGGACACATACTTACCTGCTACTCCCCCAGGTGACCAACACCCCAGACAAACCCGTCTATTTGCAAACTTCTGAAAATGCCCCCGCACCTTAGTCTTTAGTGTTCCTCCTGCCCAGGGGGCTCCTCTCTACCTGCACCACCCCCACCCCCACCTAATTCCTTATTGTAAATTGACCTAAACCAATTAACCAATTAGTTCATGTGCGTATCTTTTTTGGCAGGTAAAGGTATCCCCCAAAACCCACATCTTCACTATGTTATTATTCACTGTGTTATTATGATGAAGACAACTTTCAGGACCAGTTTCTGCCATAGGTAAAAATACTTTTTAATAAAACACATTTTAGCAAGTAGACATAAGACCATTCATACAGCTCTCCTCTGAGTTTGGTGAAGTTTAGGACTCAGCCTTTTTCACTGATCTGACAACCATTTTACATGAAAGGTACACTGGAAACAGATATACCAACATTCTAGAAACAGGATCCTCTGAGCCATGTAATGCCATCAGCAGCCAAAATCCTCCAACCCAATCATAGATAACAGGACTTGGCACCACCCTAGGAGTACAGGTTAAAGGTCTCAGTAGATTCTTAAACCCTGGTTATGGAGAGGTAAGAAAGCTCTTTTAAATACTTTAGCCAGTGTATATTGAATTCATATATATGTATATAAAGTACCACTAGTTTCATCAATAAAAGACCATTTCTATTATCCATTACACTAATGTAGAAGCCAATAATTACCCCACTGAAAAGCCATTTCTAGCATTTACTATCCTACTAATAAAGCTTCCGGTTTCCTTTGGGGTTAGAAGGTAGAGCGCTGTTCCCTGACTTTGGAATGGGATCTTTCTGATTAAGTGATCTCAAGTGTAAATTTCTGATCAGGGCAAGTGACTATCCCTAGAATGCAGTGTAAATTAGCAAATAGCTTGTCTATACTCCGTATTTTTAGGTAAATTACAACATCATAACAATCCTACTTATTCTTACAGCAGCTCAGGTGGCCCCTCCTCTGCGAAGCCTTCTCTGAGCACTGGGTCAGCTTCTTCACTCCTGGAACCCTCTGTCTCAGCACCGAGCAGTGGATTCTCGTAACTTACTTGTCTCCCCTCCCCTGTGGCTGTGAGTTTCTTGGGCAGTGGGACTCTTTCATTTTGTATCCTTAGGACAGTGGTGGATTCAGAGTAGATTCTCAATAAATGTGATTTGCTGAATATGTGGATAAACAGATGAATACCAAATCCCTGGACAAAATGACAAAGTTGTCTGGGATGGAAGAGGCCACAGACCTGCCTCGGCCCACTGCCCCAACACCCCACGGCCCCCATGGCCATCTCCCAGTGCCTGCCATAGACCCCCATGCTCAGTGGTGAGCCTTTCCCATCAAAGTTCAGAGAACCACTGATTACAGCAATTCCCAATAAGCCATAGAACGGGGAATATTTAAACTTTTAAACTACAGCTCTTAACCCACATTCATCCAGTTGGAAGAAGAGGGAACTGACAGATGATTTGGGGTAAAAGCTTCTAGCGTTGTGGCCAATTCAAGCTGCCTGAGAGCAGAATCCAATAACTAGGCTCCTCCCACTGGAATTAACTTGTTAGTTCCCTCATCAGTTAAAATGGGGATAATAATAGCTTCATTAAGTATTGTTTTGAGTATCAAAATTCACAGCATATGTCAAGCAGCTGGTAGAGCACGTGGCTCTCAGAATTCAGCAGATGGTCGTTGCCTTCCGCGGTCTAGAGGACACGTACTGTTTTCATCTGCTCGGCATCCCTTTCCCCATTTACCTGCTATGTACCTTCTTCAGGGAAACGTCTCCACCTCTTCCTAACATGTGGTTTACTGGGAATGCCCATTGTAGCACCCGATGCCTGGGGTCTACTGGACTCGGGCCTGGCCAGCCACATCACCTCCCTTCCTGTAACCTCAGCGATTGGTCAGAGGTTGGATGTGACCTGAGCTGGACCCACCAGAGCTCTTTCCTGAAATTTTTATATTCTGAGGTAAGGAAAAGAAGTCCTCTTTTTCTTCTAGTAGCTAACCTGTCACTAAGAAACCTGGGACCGTTAGCAGCCTTGGTCTTCATTATGTAGAGAAGGGCTGTTTGCAGTACCTCAGAGTAAAACCACAAGACATGAGAGGCCATGTGCACTTGTCTGCCGCCCCAGGTGCCTGGGGACCTAGGTTGCCCTTCCACTTAATGCTCCAATTGGATGCTTCCTTTAGTCAATGGCCAATAAATACCCAACCCCCAAGTTGGTCAAAGCTGTATTTTTTAGTGCTTGAGATCAAAAAGAACCCTTCAATGATACAACTCCCTGCCACTAGCTCCCTACCCCTGCTTAGAAAAATGTGACACAATCCAAATTTGGTAGGAAAGCTAAGCATATTCCTAGCCTACGTGTGACCCAACAATCCCATGTTTAGGTGTAGATTCAAAAGAAGTGGCTGCTCCATCCGTCAACAGACATAAAAAAAGAACGCTCTTAGC